TGGAGTCGGTTCTGACTCATATCGACCCTGAACATGGTTTGTGAGGCTGTAAAACTTACAGGATCAGAAAGCCTCATCCTTCGATTAGCAGCCTGATTTGTAACCACTATGCCACCAGAGCTCCTTAAACAACATAACTTCCCCTAAAAAACAACAACAACAACAAAAAACCCTCCACCATTTTCCTCCACTTTTTGATTGTTACGAATAATGCTGCTATGAGCTTCACGTGTAAGTTTTTGTATGGATACATGTTTTCATTTCCCTTGGATATGTACTTGTGAGTGGAATTGCAGGGTCATTAGGAGCCCTGGTGTACAGTCAGTTAAACGCTGGACTGCTGACTGAAAAGTGGGCAGTTTGAGTCCATTTGTTGTTGTATGGGAGAAGGATGAGGCTATCTGCTTCTGTAAAGACTTACAGCTTCGGAAGCTCGGTGGAGCCATTCTGCTCTGCTTGAGAGATCCCTGTGGTGGAATCCATTACAGCAGAGTTTTTGGTTTGGTTTATGGTAACTATGTAACCTTGTAAGAATCTGTTACTCTGTTTTCCAAAGTGACTATACTGTTTTACTTTCCCTCCAGTATGAGTGCTTCCTTTCTCCTGTCCTCACCCAAACTTGGTTAGTGTTTGTCATTTTGACTATAGCCCTTCTAGTGCATACAGGAGTCCTGGTGTGGCACTTTAGGTTAACTAGTATTGGACTGTTAGTCACAAGATGGGCAGTTGAAACCCACCAGCTGCTCTTTAGGAGAAAGATGAGACTTTCCACTCCTGTAAAGATTTAACAGCCTCACAAATGCTGTGCTGTTTTTACATGCTGTCAAGTTGCTTCCAACTTAGTGACCCAGCACAGGGTTTCCGAGGAGTAACTGGGGGGTTTGAACCGCCAACCTTGCGCGTAGCAGACCAGCGCTTGTCCTGCAGAGCCTCACCAGCACTGCATACAGGGTGGCTATGAGTCGGAATTGACTTGATAGCAGTGGGTTTGGAGTTCAGTTGGAGTGGAATATTTCAGTGAGCCAGGTATTTTGGTTTTGATGTACATTTCTCAAATGAAGGAGCCCTGCAAAATGGTTCAGCACTTGGCTGCTACCTGAAAAGTTGCGGTTAGAACCCACACCAGTGGTTATTAGGGAGAAAAGATCTGGCAATCTGCTCTCATGAAGATTTCAGGCAAGGAAACCCCCTAGGCTTTTGGTGTAGCCTAGTTTCTTTTTCTTTTGTCGCCGTTGCTTTTGTTGTATCTAAGAAAGCATTGCCTAGCCCAGTTGGTTTTCATAGTTTTATAGTTTTTAACAGTGTTAGGTCTATGAGTTAAATTTTATTTGTGGTGTGAGGTAGGGCTCCAAACGTCATTCTTTTGCCTGTGGCATTCCAGTTGACCTAGCACCATTTATTGAAAAGGCTGTTTTCCCCATTGAATTGTTGAAAATTTCAACCCTTGTTGAAAATCAGTATGACTGTTTCTGGATCTCATATTCTTATATTCTGTGATAGATTCTATTTAGTTGGTCTAAATATGTATCCTCAGGCTAGTACCACACAGTCTTGATTACTGTAGTTTTGTAGTAAATTTAGGAAAGCTTATGACGACGGTTTTCCAGGATTTGAGAAAGGCAGTGTTGGTCAGCAGTTTTTTTTTATAGTTTTGCAGTCCTAGAGCTCCCCCTTGTATTGATTTTTTGAAGTGCACACAAATAGGTTTCATGACTTGAGATCTGACTTTTTTGTTTGCTTGTTTTTCCATTTTGGAAGATTTTCCATCATTTCTCCTCCTCACGTGCTGCTTAATTTGGACTTTCTTCCCATTTGTTTCTAATATTAAGCCATAAAAGGAAGACATCTGGTCCTATTACCTTTTTGACAATTTTTTTTAAGTCAGAAAATGTACATAGTTAGGAACCTGCATTGGTTCAGTAAGGTAAAAGACTTCACTCAGCCTTACCTTTTTTTTTTTTAATGTTTTATTGTGAATTATATAATAGTTTACATGGGAAAACTTTAGTTTTACATTCATTCCTTCGTATATATCATCTCACTGCCATGGTTCCAATCCCCTCCATGCATC